ACATCAGAAATTGCCATTAATTCTCCTTTATGTTTTATACTATATTATATATAACCAACAAGAAAGCCAAAGTTTTATTCTATAAACTAACATATTATATTACATTGTTTTCTTTACAGGGTATTGTCTATTTTGTCGTTCAGTTTGAAATTTATCTCATGAAATTGCACTGATAGATTTAGCTGAATTTTTAAAAGTTCTGATCACATAGTTAGAAAGCAAGAAAAACTGTAATAGTTACAGGACATTATTTACTTTTTGTGTCTTATTGTTCTTAGGTGCATTATTTAATTAAATAGAAAATTATTTAGTGTAGTTATTACCATTAATATCAAAAGTAGGCTTCAGTTTCATTGACAGATTAGAAGCTTAATAGGTTAGATTAGGTAAGACATTAAAAAAAATAATAAAAATTCTTCACAAGCTACGCTTGCAAACAGTTCATGCATTATGTCATTCAATATGGTAACTTGAGCTGTATGTCTGCTGCATAATTTACAACTTGTGTGACAGGATTATTATTTAGACACAGTTCAAAGGTCAATAAAACAATTAAATTAAGTACAAATAGATGTATGCTTTTATGAGCTTTAAGCTATTTAGGATAACAATTGTGGTTTCTTTTTACAACTTGTAGTCATTCTAGAAAGAAAAAAGGGTAAGTTAGATTTATTTCTTAATTTTGTATGGTAGAGAAAATAACAAATAAAATGTAAAGTTTTTCTGAAAAGAAATGTTTGATACATTGGAAATAGAAATATTACATTCCCTCATTCCTAAAGAATTTAACTTTGCTTGAGGAATTTCATCTTTTTAGTTCGCTCTCCCAATCGGGAATGCATGGTCTGTCTGTATTCCTTTAGTTATGACCAAGGAAAGTGAACATATTGCATGGATTACATAAAAAAACAATTCATGAGCAAATGCAGCTTTACATGAGGGAATGTAATCTTCCTGATAGCTTTCCCTCGAGTGAATGTAGTTTTATTTCATTAGTTTTATCCCTGTATTTATTTAGGAGGTTTAGTGATTATGCAAATAAAATTTTAAAATTTTCAGATGAAGAAAAGTGTTTTTAATCCCAACATGAAAAATCACTTTTCACTCAGAGCAGTAAATATCTGACTTATATTTATGGACATATTTTATGTACGAAAATTTAATTTAAAATTCTGACTTTTTGTCTACAAAATGTTTACTGAAAGCTTGCCAGATTTTCTCAAGATACATTAAGTACTTTCAGAGTTAAAGTATGTACAATACTTTCATTGTTACATGGTAATTATAAGGTCATGTAAAATACACGAACCCATTACAAAAGGGTTAAATAAAGCTTTGGTCTAGCATAGGATGAATGACAAATAATGGGTTTGATTCAGGGGAATATATGATCAGAAGCAACAGATGGAATATATTTTCAGACAGAAAATACTAGTAAGTCATGTTATTGTTACATCAAAATTGAATAATTAAATCTCAGGTTATATTATAGTTTTAATTCAAGAAAATTAACCATATAATTTCATCCTGGAGTATGGAGTTTTCTTAAATTTGTGTACACCACTTATAAGATATATTTGAAATAGGAATCTCAGCATTTTTAACTTTCTAAATGACAACACAAATAATAATGTTGTTATCCTTCTCTTCAAGTAAAATCTTTTGGATTTTTTTAGGTAAAGATAAATAGAAGAGTATTTCCTTGGCTTATCATAAAATATTGCTTTACCATTAGTATAAACATTATAGCATTTTAGTACATATATTTTTGCAAATTTAACAAGCTAAGGCTACATTACAGTATTTTATTTTACAATGCTGTATCAATTAGCATAGACACTATTGTTGGATGGATAGAAGATAGTGTACCTGCTGCCTTGTCCTTTCTTGAAAACACAGGAGAAAAAGTTTGGTGGCCTGAAGCTGTCTTCTCAACTTGTCAGGTTTCTACATTTTTGCAAGTTTTATCTTGTGTCCTCAAGACTTTGTTCAGTGGATGTGAGTAGTATATTTATTGGTTATGATTCAATTAGTTTTTGGATTAGTTATGAAATATAAGTTTTGTTAATGTAGTGTGCATTTCATAATTATGTGTTGCATTATTGGCTGATAATCCTACTTAATTTTCTATTGTAGTTTTTTCATTGATTTATTTTAGCAGGATTCATAATCACTCAAAGTCTGTAGTTGTAGAGTCACTGAGTTAACAGTTTGGTGCTCTAGATTTTCAGCAAGCTATATAGGTTGTAGAGCTATAATGTTAGAATTGTTTTTCGTTTTCTGTTAATTCCTTAACAAATGTATGAGCTGCCTGTGAATTCAAACAGTAATACAACAGAAGTCTGTGTTGAAGAATATATTATTTAAATAAATGTTTATGAGCTTTTCAAAGAAATAGTAAATTCCACTGACACACTGGTTTGCCATTTATGTTTAACTGGTATTATTTGTCTATTTCCTAAAAGCTTAAAATTAAAGTGCAGTAGAACTAAAAAGATCAAGTTTAATGTCATTATGGTTATATTTCTTTAAAAACAATAGCATCATGATCATACTGCTAAAATATATAAAATGTATTTATGGTCATATTGCTTGTTCTTGAATATATATTTTTACACTCATTATTAAATTGAATCTCATACATTATGTGTAGTTTATTAAATAGTATATCTTGGGAGTGTGGTTGCTACTCATCTCAATTTAGTTGGGACTGTTTAGATTTCAGGTACAATCTGCAATATCATGTCTTTTCATAAGTATGTTGGGATAGCAAAATGTTCTTTTTTTATATGTATTAATCAATAATTGTTGCATCCTTACAGTAAAAAAACTGATTTATGAGATTATTTGGAGTAATATATTATAAGTGTCTTAATCAATAAAAGGAACACATTACAACAAGTGTAATTTTACTAGGACTTGCATTATATTTCTACTAATTCTTTAGAATGCATGGTAGCTATTAAAAAGTTTAATTGATTAAGAGATATTCATTATTTAGATTTGTAAATTTTAGGTGCTCCAACCCAAGATCGTCTTCAGCACATGACGAGAATGAAGACATCATATGCATATGCCTTTCTGTGGGGGTTTGGTGGACAGCTGAACAGCAGGTCACTATTTTAAATGACTTCATCATAGTCAAATTATAGCATTATTTAAAACTTCTTAAAAAAATTCTTAATGTGTATCTTATCAAAGTTCTCTAATGATTCAAAAGAATTGAAAACTCTTAAGATTATCTCTTATAATTCTGGAATAAGTTTATTTTTAACCTTTATATTAACAATGTAAAATAGATAATGTTAAGAGAAAGGGGTAAAAGTAGTTTTTCAAAGTTCATAAAATTGATAATTTATATAGCTGATATGGTTGATTATAGGTGATCTTGTGTAAATACTAACAAATCCAAATATATTTTAATATGTTTTTTCAACCTCAACTGTGGGTTTTATTTTATCAAATTAGGTTTGAGTTAAGTATTTTAATGCAGATTAAAATACAAATAGATTATTCTGACTTCAATTTGTATTTTATTGTGGAAACAATAACTAGGACAAAATGCAGTATGTGTACTCAGATATTTGTGTGGAAAGTTGGACATAACTTAGACTATCTATAAAATAAAAAAATAAGATCAACATTTAAAATACACAATAAAAATTTCATTTGGCCAATGTCTAAAAGTAAAAGACTACATATTTTGGTAGCTTTACGTTACCATCATCAGAATATATTAGTCTATCTTTCTCTGCCACTAGAAAAGAAAGCTCAATACAGTATTTCTTCTTTCAACACAGAGCTCGAAAAAAATTTGAGCCATTTGTACAAGCATGTTTGAAGAATTGTATTCCTCCTATTAAACCACCTGACAAAGGCTCTCCATTTGATTACACCATTCATCAGGAACATGGCCAATGGGTGCTTGCTGATGGTGGAGTTTTTGCTTCTGGAAAAACAATGTCAACAAGTTCTTTCTATGTTCCTGTTTCTTCAGTGAGTCAATGTCTTGTTTCTTCCAGATTTCACAATTTTTGATTACCTTTTCTTGTTTCATTTTTACTATATACATCTATATATACAAATGTTGTTTTTGTTTTAATTGTTATATAATATATAGTTAAATTTTATGTTAAGCAGTGTAATAATATAGATTAAATATAATTTAAGTTTAAATTATTTTTAAAAATATCCTTTTGCCAGGTGGATAATTTTGAAGATATGAAGAAAACATTAATAGGTTGAAGTTTAAAAAAAAGTAAACATTCTAATCCAATAAAAAAAAGCAACATGAAGCACAGAAAAACAACAACAGAATATCCTAGTTGGGATTTGGATAAGAACTCCAATTAAGAAGTTTTAACAAAGTTAAATTATCTGCAAACGATTTAGAGCAAGACAGTTTCATTAGGAAGAAAAATAAATAACAAATGTTATACATGTAATAATGGTTAATAACTACTATTGCATTAATATGATTTAAAACTTTTATTAAGATAAAGTGGACAGTAATGGGGTTATCACTTCAAATTGGGGACTGGTATTGCCAGGTGGTTAGGGCACTCGACTCGCAATCTGAGGGTCACAGGTTCGAATCCCCATCCCACCAAACGTGCTCACTCTTTCAGCTGTGGGGCATTATAATGTGATGGTCAATAACACTATTCATTGGTAAGAGAGTATCCCAAGAGTTGGCAGTGGGTGGTGATGATTAGCTGCTTTCCTTCTAGTCTTTCACTGCTAAATTAGGGACAGCTAGCACAGATAGCCCTCGTGTAGCTTTGCGTGAAATTCAAAATAAACAAACAAACTCTTAAAATTGACCATCCTAAGTTATAAGTAATTGCAGTTAATCTCAGTTTAAGTGTGGGAAAAACTATAGTATAGATATGTATATATCAAATGGTATCAACAGAAATTAGACTTAGAAAATAAATAGACTGCAGATGAATTAAATGTATTAAATACTTCATGAAACAATGTGTACATTAAATATTTAAGATATTTTTTTCAAATACATTTAGGTATGAATTGCTTGATAACTAAACCTTTTTTGTTATTGAGATGTGATTTAAATACCAAACTATTTTCTAACTCAAACTTTTTGATATATCTGATTTCTATACAACTTACAATTATTTTTTATGTCACTTTCTTGAGTTTAATTGTAGTTAGTTTTACCTTAGTGCTGTCAATTGTAAATTATATTTTCACTTTACCAGTACATGTAAGTGGTATGTTAGTTACTTGTTTGTGCAGTAGCAATTTTGTACATTATATGTATATTTTTTTATATTCCTACCCTTTTTATCATTGACACTGCTTTGCTATATGTACTTCGCAAATAGTTTGATATCTTTAATGTCTCTTAATTCAGGAATTTGGTGCAAACTCCAACTAGAATATTTTGTTTTGTTAATTATTTTTATTTATCATTTCAACTATTGTCCTTGTCTTTCTGTATTTATTGTTGGTTTTTGTTGAATGAGAATGTTTGACCTCAAACTTCAACAATTTAATTTTTTTTGAATAATTTGGTTTTACATCTTTAAAATTACACAGGTTTAGTGATTTGCTGAAGACAAACAAGTACTTTCTAGATGTGACAGAAAACAGAGGAGTGGTTGATCATTAAGTGGAAAACTACTGTGTTGTATGGATTGAATTAAAATAAACTGTATTTAAGTAAAAAGGTTTAATGAAAAAAAAAAACTTTTTAAAGGAGTAGAGGTGACAATTAACTTGAAAATAATTCATAGCATGCACTACCAGTAAATATTAGAAAAAAGGAAATGAAGCCAAGACTTTGTCAGGGTTTTAAATATGTGTCAGCTTGGATTCTTTACAGTAGGTGTATGTGGCTTGTTGGTGATAAATTTGAACAATAAATGGACAGAAAACACTCTACTTGTTTTAAAATAATATATTCAAAACAAGTCAAACTGTGTACAAAAATTCTTTACACTATGGATATCAGTTGTATCTCAAACTCTAAATAATTCTCTTTTCTTATTTAGAATCTAATTGGCAAGATGATTTATTTTTCTCTACTCCTATCACAATAGTATCAGTGAATAATTCACTTATATTACCCTGTGGTTACGACAGTTGCATATATCTTGAACTTTAAATAATTGACACCTTTTCGTCAAAGTCCACACAGATGGGTTATATTACTTTAAAACACTCTTTCACAAGACAAATTATTCTCTTTATCTCTGTTAAACTCATTGCAAAATGTCATCCCTTATAACTAAACTAACAATCCTGCAGTCTAACTTCACTTTCACAACATAACTTCATTTAACTTCTTTTGTTGGTTACCACAGTTGTATCCAGAGCTTTAAATAATTGTCCCTTATTTTTCATCAAAAGTCCACACAGGCTGGTTCAGTTACTTTAGAACCCAATTGACAAGACAAATTATTTTTCCTATCTCTGTTGTTACAATACTACTATGAAACACACTAGAGAAATCACCTGTTAAGGCTAATTACTCACATGCCTGCTAACTTAACATTTTGTTTCACTAACTAACTTTTTTTCTGACTAAACTTAACTTTTTCTTGTCTTGCGCTCACTTTGTCACCTATATATATATATACCTTGCCCAACTGAAGCCTGGAACTTTCTACAAACTAGGAGACACTATGAATTAATAATACTTACATAGTGAGAAAAACTTAGAGGTTTCGAGAAAGATAATGTCAAAAATACTACAACAGTTGAACTACACAAACAACATACAACTCTTACCGAGTTACATAACAAAATCCACAGAATAGTTGTACTGTGTCTTATTTTATTTTGTGTTTGCAGAACTTCTCCGTGACTGTCACTATGGAACAGATATTTTTAGATATGTTTAATCCAATTCTCTTATCGGTCAGCTACAGAGAGATGGTGAGCTGAAAACACAGTTTTAGTATTTTCAAACAGATTTGTCACTGACATGGAAGATCCAAGACCTGTCTGTGAGGTCTGTTGGATATACAAGACTGTTTAGCTTAATAGTTATTATTTAGTGATTTAATACTTAATAAATATTTAGTTTTCATAACAAGAGTGTTAAAGTTAATTATTTTAAAAGTGATAGTTGTGACAACACAGTAGATGATTTCTGTGATTGCAGCATAAAGTAACATTAATTACTAAATTACTGCATGATCTTGACCAAATTTAGTATGTTTATAAGAATATAAAAATGTAGTAAATATAGAATACAAAACTTGAGTATGTTGTATTAAGATGATTTCGGAGCCTCACCACGTGACAGCCCATGTTACCATGTCTGTTCCTGCTCTGTCAGATGATCATACATCTTGAAAGTAGTCCTACAGTGCTGTTTCCATTGCAAAGAGCTCTGTTGTAAGGCTATAATGTTTAGAGCACACCTCTTCTTCCTGAGGGTTTCCATAATTCATTTAGTGCCCATTTCAATAGTCCATTTGTACAGAAATCCATAGACTCTGGATCTGATGATTTGACTGGTATGTTTATATATATGTAATAGCAGGAATACCTATTTAATTCTCCAGCTGCTTGATTTGTCATGGAAAAATCTTGTGTACACATGACTTGTGTCACTTTTCCAGATATAGATCCATCTTGATTATGTTGTGTACTGTTGACTGGGACACATGGATGGTTTTGGCCATGTGGCTTTTCAATTGTTACAAGATGCCACATTTTACTTACCATGGTAAGGAGATAACTTTTTGCAGATCTCTTTTGGATGGTCCTGGTGCCCTGAGTTGATCCAATGCCATTAATCATAAGTCATATCTCCATCATGGAAACTCAAAATCCCCAATCTTAACACATCTTTATGATCTGAGTATACATATATATTGTGTAAGAAAAGGGTTTTTACATACCTTCTCCAGAAGCAATGAGTTTCTGTTGGAATCACACCACCTAAGTAATACGAAAGAATGTCAAAATGTAGTTCTGATACTTGCTGTTCCACTGCAATTTTATATCAGCTTGGATTGTCATGTGACATCCTGATTTTAAGATAGTATATACAGTCCTTAATATACATTAAACAGGAGAGTGAGATATGTGGTATTTGCATACCACAGTAATATTATTCCTTAATTTTATGTTTATTTATGAGATTTTTAATCATTGTTTAGGTTTATTTTATTCTTAAATATGCTTCATTAATATAATTTACTCAATAATTACATGTTTCAGATATCATTCTAGTTTCTAATCATTAAACATTTATGTGCTTTAGCATGTTCTATCTTGTATATAATTTTTTATGGTAGTTGGTAAATTTACAAACAGCTTCAAGAATTTCAGTTCCTTCATTCAAAAACGAATCTTTAAAAGTTGATTGCAAGCATAAAAAGACTTTGGTAGGACATACAAATTCAAATTTAGCTTTTTTTATTTACTTTCTTTACTTTAGCTAGAATTTGGGACCTTCTGGTAGTTAAGATATTAGTCTGTGTGTTTCTAGTTCTAGTGAGCTGATTTTGCTTTGCCACTAAACTGGTACCTTTTTGTTTGTTTTCATCAATACTTTTGTTTCGATTGTTAAATCTGGTTTCATGTGATATTACACGGAAAATGTATTGGGACTTTTGCAGTGATTACTATATTTGACTTACTACTGCGTTTGAATTGCTTTATTATTTAATCTAACTTTTTTATTTTACTGCAGGACTTTGGAACCCTTATTCTTATGGAATGGCTAATGAAAGCCCATCAACCAATTTTGATTAGTGGTGAGACTGGATCAGGGAAGTCAGCATTGTTAAAAGTAGGAGGAAAAGTTTTTAATAGATTTATTACAATATGTATATAGTTTGTCATACATTTTATCTTGAGTATTACATATCTGGAAATTGCTTGACTTTTATGAGATTTCATAACTGGAACAGCTACTTGTTTCACCCGTCTATAATTTGTTTAGAATATATCTTTATTCAGGTATATTCATTTAATGTTTTCAAACTTTCCATGCAGTATGTGTGTACTATAATCAGATAGATTATTCAAGGTTGTAAAAATATAGGTGATACAGAAACCTATACAAATTACTTTTCTTTGAAGTGTAAGTAAACCATTGGTTGAAGTATATAACCTGAGGATTTGTGGGATGCCTCACTAATGCTTTGACAAAGAATATATGTTGGGTATTTCCATATTTCTCTTGCTCTTGTTTATCTTGATCTCTCTCTTATTCTTGATTATCTTGCCCTCAATCCCAGTAGCCATTCTTATAGATAAGAAGCCAGCCAGATATTAATGTAAATAAAAATTTTGATTGTTTCTTCATTTCTTCTCCATTGCTGTCCATATTCAATTTATTCATCCCTTAACAATCCTAAATGTGTATTTTTGTGGAAACTTTTGTTTTTCTATCAAATATCAATGTACCTGAATTCCCCACAAAGTTGCTAGCTTTAGTCCTTTAAAGTTATCCAGAAGTTGATGATTTGATAACCATGTACACTGTATTTCAGCTAAAACTCTTGCAATTTCATTAATGATGTCAGTTTTTTTTATTATTATTAATTGATCCAAATCATTTAAAACAAAATAAAGACGATCCAATAATTTTAATAAGTCCAGTATAGAGTTGAATTTAGACTATTATGTCTGAGACAATTTTCCGAGAATGATGATACAGGTTAATTAAAATTACAGTGTCATTATTCTCGGAAAATTTAATATATCCACAACAGGGTTGAATTTAGACCATGATATCTATGAGGGGGGTTAGGGCAGCATTTCCCAAACTTTACAGACCCAGGAACCAGGTTTTTTTATTCGCGCTTTTTTTTAGACCATCTTGTATACATAGGTACATGTATCTACACACAAAGTCCACATGGTAAACTACGATTTTGTTCCATTAAATATGATACCATGAAAATAGAAGAAATTGTATTTCACTGTTTATTCAATCTTACAACATTAGGAATCAGGAAAAATAAAACTTCCTAATGTGAAGGATGGTGTTGTTTGTTATTACATAACAACTTTATGTCAGGAGGAAAGAAGTTAATTTAACCCTCAAATCTGGTTCGACATTCAGTCTATTTCTACACTTGTTTTTTAGAAAAAAACAAGAACAAGAAGCTAGTTTCATACTTATATGTTGCAATGAAAAGTATTAGGAATCTGACCGCTTTTTCAGATAACACTGCATATTCATTTTGACAACTCAGTCAAAAATTAATCAAGGAGAACTTATCAAAATTTTGTTTCAAGGTGGTGTGACAGGAAAGTTCAGTTAATGAATCCACTTCTGATTTATTTAATTGTAAGATTTCTTCATTTTCCATGTTAACAGAAAATGGGTTCCTAATCCACATTTTACTGGCATCAATTGGAGGAAAATATTCATTTAAGATTGATGATAGCCCCAATAGATGTTCTTTAATTGCTACAGAAGTTGTATCTGAGATGTTAATTTCAGCATATTTCTCTTGTAATTCAGTTAAAATACAAAATGACTTAAAATTCCCCTTTTCAACTCGTTTTGTGTCCACAAACGAAGTTTTTTAATTGTTGCTTCAATTTTTTCCTGAATTTTTAAAATATTTATGTTCATGTCTTGTAAATTTAAATTCAACTCATTTAAGACACAAAATATGTCACATAAGCAGGCCGCCTTTGTTAACCAATCAAATTCATGAAACCTGTCCTTAAATTTGAAAAGAACATTTCTTGCCGATGGAAGATGTTGTTCCAAAAACAATAACACCTCCTCCTTCATTTCAATAATTAGTTTCAAAATGTTTCCCTTTGATAGCCATTGAGTTTCATGGTGCATGTTCTCTTCCTAATTCTTTGCACAAAGCAGCAAAAAATCCTGGAATTCAGTGGACGAGATTTTATATAATTTATAAACTTGACACATTCTTGAAGAGTTGAACTCAAAAGTGAGGGCATATGTTTCACAGCTAGAGCCTCTTTGTGAATACTACAATGCATTCATATACAGTTTGGCACTATTGCTCAGATCCTCTGGAAAACCTGTTGTGGTGACCTGACATTGCCTGAGCTCCATCACTGCTCAGTCCTCATGATTGTTGCATGATATTGATAGGATAACGTGGAATTTTTTTATTTTCTGAGGACTGGCATTTTTTTTCAAAGGACTGGTAATGGGCCATAGACTACGCTTTGGGAAGTGTTGGGTTAGGATTTTCGAATAATAAGTTAGCAATCTTAATAAGTCCACTGTAAAGTTAAATGTGAATGACATTTTGAACGATAAAATTCTTGATAAACTTAAAGATTTGGTCAACTTTGTTCTTGTTGAAAGTGGTTTACAAAACATAAAATCTTCTTGAATAGAGCCTTCGAACTCATATCTTACAAAGGACATCAAATTGGAATTGTCTGCTATGTCTGTGCTTTTATCTACTTGTAATGAAAAAACTGACTATTTTGTATTTGAAGCATGAGAGTTTTTCTAAATTTTCTGCCATATCCTTAATTCTGAATTTCACTGTATTGTTGGATAGAGACAGCAAACTCAACAGATTTTGTTTGTTCCATGAACATGGAGTATAATAATTTTAATTGCAGGAAGTATCAACTTTTCACCAATACTATGCGGGTTTGAAACTTCATATGATGCCAAAACCAAGTTTTCATTGAAAGGACTCATAGAAAATGTACATTTTATACTTTTATAGGCAGAAAATAATTTATTCTTCTTATTGACAAAAAAATCTATTGGCTTACTTGATTATTCTGGATGTTTGCATTCAAAATGGTCTTTCAGTTTTGATGGTTTCATGCACTCATTTGATAATGTTACATAACAGATAACACATAATGGCAAGTGATTATCCCTACCAGCACTGGTGAAACCGAACTTCAAATACTCGTTAAAATACTTCCGGATCTTATCATCTCTACCAAGCTACACATCACTTGAACGTTTATTACCTTTATTTTCGATACCTTTACTTGTACTAGGCTGCACATCACTTGAACTGTTGTTGGTTGTGTTTCTCTTCAACCATTTGTCCATTTTGAAAATGAAAGGGTATTTCATTAAAAATAAATGAGAAAAGAACTTGATCTGCACATCACTGAGGCAGCGACAAACAACTACGGCATGAAATTTGGTGGGAATTCACAACATGGTAAATAAGATCGACAGATACGTTGACATAACAACACCCTCTCGCTGTTGCATTTTAAACTAGCTCAAATGTCATAGCCCCAATGGCCTCGTTTGGGAACAACATTAATCGACCAATAGTAAAGCTTGAATTCCATAAAATTCATGTAAAAAGCCATAGTCATACCATGTCAAGTAGCATTTTATCGAGTTCATGATTGTTGCATGATATTGATAGGATAATGTGGGATTTTTTTATTTTCTGAGGACTGGCATTTTTTTTTCAAAGGACTGGTAATGGGCCACAGACTACGCTTTGGGAAGTGTTGGGTTAGGATTTTCGAATAATAAGTTAGCAATCTTAATAAGTCCACTGTAAAGTTAAATGTAAACAACTGTATCTTTGACATGTCTGAGGCAATTTTCCAAGAATAATCCAACAGTTTTTCTTTTATATGAAAGCACCAGAGAAAGGTAAGGAGCAGAAACCTTCTGCAGACATGCTCTTAATTTGTATAGCTAATTGAGATAAAGGTTATTATTTAGAAACTATTTTATATTTAGTCAGCAGGATGTATATTTGAACACTCAAGATAGGAGATAGTCATCTCAGGAATTAGCCCTAATTTGATATTGTTCTCAGAACATTGATGTTCACTGAGGATCCTGGGTTCAAACTTGATTAAGGTAGACTTATTAGCATCTTAACTCAGTATGATAATGCCACATTTAAATATCATACATGATCAGAATAAATTTATAGTACACTTTCTGAAAATTTTAAAATAGCACATCAACAGGACATACCAGAATTCCACTATGGTCTCACTGAGTACAGGCTACCGTCCAGCTGAGCTGTGTCAAATCTTACAAATGCTGCAAAAGAGAGTTAAGTCAAATGGAGATAAAGCTTCATTAGTACCATTACAAATTGGAGACAGTCGGAGACTACTTGTTTGTGTTGATGACTTACATCTTGGTGGTAGATTATCAGGTTAGTTGTATTACAAAATGAATTGCATACCTTATGTAACAGGTTTTTAATATTTATGAAGGAATAATAATTTCAATTATCTCAGGTTAGTGTTTTTGATGTACTAGTAACTAATTAATGGTTTTTGGAGAAACATTCCATGTGCTGCTCATAATTTTAAATGTTTTGAATTAATCAGTAATAGTAATATAGTACACTTACATTTTCAAAATATTTTTTTACATCTTAGTAGTTGTTAATGTGTACTACATGTGCATCATACTAACAGTCTTATTAAACTCCCTAAATATATCTTTCTATTAGGACAGTGGTGCTCAAACTTTTTTATGGTGACCTCATCTTTCTAAACATGCATTTTGTTGCCCCCTCTTCTCCCAAACTCCATTTAAAAATAAAACAAATATTAAAATGGTACTCGGCATAAGACAAACTGTTTCAGTTTATTTTTGATTTTAATGTGAAGGATGGGCTTGAGCTTGGAATAATATAAGGTCCATTCTTGGCTGAATTGTTCACACAGCAACTTAAAGATCCCCCTCTACCAGAAAATAAGATCATTGTTTTGTTTTGATTGCTGTCAGAAGAGAAAATACTGGCTTGTCCAGATAGGTTGATAAGAAAGTCAAAAGCACGTCCATATCTTTTCTTGACTGGTCAGAATATTCTAGAACTTCCAAGAGGTTTTGACTTGAATTCTTCCTGAGGAGTTTTATCACTGGATAGTTCTATGAACAGATGAAACATTATGCTGCCATTAAATGGATTTCTGAACCAATCGCATTCTCCCATTGATTCTTGGAATTGATCTGCAAATTTTTCAAGATAAATAGAAAGAATGCCACAAATAAGAAAGACTGATTTAACTCATTTTCTTCCAATAATTTATTGAGACAAGGAAACATTTTACAGTTTCCATTTTCAAACTGGTTTTCCACAGTACAAGATTTTTGTAAAATGCAGACACTTTGTCGCTTAACTGCAAAATATTGCTATTCTGACCTTGACAAATGAAAGTCGTTGAGTTTATCAAAAATAACAGCCAGGTAGCACAGTAATAGAAGCCACTTTTCATACATAAATAGAATGGGTTTGCATTCTAACAAAAAAATACGAAGTTTGTCTTTAAGATGTACAATGAGACTGAGTACTTCCTGCGGTACAACCAGTACACCTCTGTATGCAGCAGGAGCTTGTTGTACGTGAATCACTTTTCTACACTAAGAATGGAAAACAGCTTGTTTTTGAAAGCCCCTAATTTCATAAACTTCACAATAATCACAAAATCTTGTAACACTTTGTTTGTATTTTCTTGAAAACTAGTGCTTCCCTATGTATAATGCAATTTGTAAATGTTACACCTGAAGCAAGAGCACTTAATTTAGCTCTGAATTCTTTCTTGTTTCCCATAAATGCAACTGCCCCATCAGTGCATACCTCAACACAATTAATCCAAGAAAGATAATAGCTAATATATGAGCAGTGGTAAGGTACCATATCGGAAGTTGTTATTTTCATACACTGAAAGTACATTTTTGATTTAATAGGTACTTACCTCCTATCACACTTCCCACCCTTCCTTCCCACTTTAAATCAGTGCTTACATTCTGTCTAATCTTGAAGTGATGGTTAGATAGAATTTAATAGAGGTAGTCACATGCATCAGGAAGGTGTGTCATACTCCTATTAATGAAGGATTGTCTCATGATGATTTACATGCAAAGATGCAGTGAACCATGTTGATCGTGGGATGGGTGGGAGTTTCAAGGCTTGTAGTATGTGAAAGAGGTAAGTACCTATCCAAAATATATTTTCAGTGTAAGAATATAATAACCTTTGTTTGGTGTTCAGTTTACTAACAGAAGCAGTTGAAATAAAAACCAAGGAAATGTTTCTTTCAGTTACAGAACTATCAATGTTTTGTCCTTCATTATCACCATCTTTAATGATTTATTCTGTTTGTTGACTTTTGACCTGTTCCTCAAAGAAACTGAGATCAAATTTTGCTTACATATAACACCCACTTATCCATGTGGATCAGGGTTTCCTAAACCTTAAAAAAGAATGAGGTTTTAGTTTTTCTAATGAGATGGATGGGTCTGAATTTATTTATTTCAATAATCATAATACTATTATATTTTGTAAGAAGAATAAAAATAAGTAATTAAATTAAAATTTATTTGTAAAATATGTATTTTTCATTACTGTGTGAATTTATATGCTGTGGAAGATTTGAGAAAAGGAACAAACATTGCTACAAGGCATAGGGTGATTGGTTGTGAAGGCCAACCTTATCCTAGTGGCCATTTTAGATCCCTATCGACTCCTATGTCTTTATTCACCCCCTGTACAGGGGTTAATATTGACCAGTTTGGGAAACCCTGATGACGATAATCAGATCAAATTCTTAATTCCTAACAAAGGATATTATTAAAGAACAGATGTAATAACCATTTTACACTTAGAGGAAATATGTAAGTTTCAAATTCTTTTACAAAATTAGCAATAAGCCAGGTTTCCATCCACAAAATTCATCTGGGGACCTCTTTTTAATTTATGTATGGAAATATATGTTTCACTGTGTTTGGTGTAGTGAGATTGATCAGGGATCTGAGCTCTCTCTCTCACAACATATAACAGGTTCTTAGAATGCTTGGAGATGCATCAGATGCAGTTTTAGACATCTTGAACAATTCAAAGATATGTGTATATATTCCCTAAAAACCAGCTTGATTTTCAAGAAACTCAGAATTTAAAAAAATGTTTGGTAAGTCTTTGTTAGTCCAGCTATGTATTCCCCCGTACACAAGCTGTCAAGCAGGATACTGCAAATATTTCATGAAAGAGTAGATAAGCTACTTGACAATAGAAAATATATACTATAGAAAAATAAGGTGTATGGTATTTCGTACAAACTTAGGGATAATGAGAAAAACTAAAAGTATATTGAAAAAATTAAAATAAATTTATTAACTAAAAACGTATTATTTGTTTCTCATTTGTATATACTAATTGAATAATAACTACATGTATATACTGTATATTTATATATATAGCTGTATCTTGTCACTATACAATTAAATTCCAGGAATAAGCAATAGTAAAAGAAATTGTTTTCATACTTAGGATTCTTTTCTGTCCAAGAGGTTATTAGAGCTTTGTGCTCTGTTAAAAAACTGCTGGTAGGTGGCACTACCAGGCACATAAACATGAACAATCTGGATGTAATAGTGAGCAGTGCAACATCAAATCCACCCTCGAATCTACAGGTATTGAGTTCCCGTCTACGTCGACATTTTGTAAATCTTCATTTGTCCACACCAAATGAAGATTCTTTTCTACAAATATATTCTTCTTCTTTGTCTCACTGGCTTTCACAGTTTCCCAAGAGCATACTTCAAAACCATGCTGTACTTGTAGAGGTAAATTGATTGTCTTATACTCTAAAAAGTTATCACTATTGAATTATGCATAATCACATTAATATTATTAATATCTAGATGTTCAATATGCATAATTGCAAATATATGGATGCTTACAAGCATATTTATGTTTGCTGTATTGGTAAGCTGTGTGGATCTTAAAAGTAAATTATTGGTATTTTTTATTTGTACACTGAATTCACTGCTCAACTAAAATTATAATTTAGAGCAGTTGTAATGCTTTTGATATTTTTATAAGCCTTTGTGCCTTTTCTTAAAACTTCATCAGTTAGCTGAAGGCATTTTTTTCTGACAGAAGTAAAAATATTTTCTTAACAGAGGCATCACTAGGTAGTTAAAATATTTGAGGCTCAGGCCTATACACCCCCCCCCCCCAAGAATAATTAGGTATTTCAACATTTTGCAGAACACAAAATACAATGATGTACAAATAATATATTGAACTACAATAGTAAGATGAATCAAGCTATATAATGCTAGTGAATATAAACAGTCACGTAGTAACTGTAAATTTACAAATACAAAATGATCCTGTATTAACACATAAGAGGACATATTTTTAAATATTAATCTTTGTTTTCTATATATAACATAATATAAAATGTTTATTTAGAAATTATTTTGGAAGTGTCAGTGTATGCCTCCTGTTTTGTCTTTTAACAAAACGATCAGTGACAGCATCCTCAGACACGAATTCCAGCACACTTTTCTCAATTCGAAAGCACTGCAAGGTGCTATCATTTAGTTTGTCTCATTTTGCTTCTCAGCCAGGTTTGTAGATGTCTTAAAACACTGAATGACCTTTCATAGCTACAGCTACTCACTGGGATAGTTAGTAAAACTTGTACCACTTTTCTTAGGGTTGGAAACATAAAAGGGTCTAAAAGCTGCTACACATCTTCTATGGTGAGATTTTTGCCATTCTATTGTTTATGGGCTAAATAATTTTTAGCAACAAGTACTTCTTTGGGCTTTAGTTCTGTTTTGTAGTGTCTATTAAATGCAGTTAAGTCCTCTACAAAGAGAAAGTTTCATGAGAGCAAACTGTGTACCTGAATTTCCATTGTTAGCTCTGCTTTAATGCTTGAAAACAGCTGGTCAAGTTCAGAATTCACATGATCTAAACATAGATAGAATAATTTTGTCCTTATATTATCTGGTGTATCCTCATATACACTGCTTGCAGTTTCAACCACAAAATCATTCATATGTTTTTGTTCTCATATTCTTTTAAGTACTGCATACTGCTTCTTTACAATCGACTACTTTTGCCAAATCAAGATTTATTTTTGGAGCAACTTATGGAAGTCCTCTGTTGTGCTAAGGAGAGAATGAAATATATACAAGCAGTACACTGTAGGCAATTTGTGCAGCTATGCTAATAGACCAAAGGCTGTTGGAGACTTCATTTGTGAAAGGAATTGCACAAAAGCTGGGAAGTGTGTTATCAGTGTGTTGAGTTTGGACTTCACTAAATCATTCTCAATATCTTTTAGATCAGAAGCCTCACAAGCTGTGCTGAAATTCACTGGTCTGACACTTAATGCCTCTGCCCCTGTTTCCTTACTGGAGCCTTCTACTGCACCAGACAGATCATCCTTTGCATTCCCTGTTTTCTCTTGCTGGCATTGCTGTGATGCAGATTTACTGGTAAAAATTTGCCCGATATCCATTCACTATGGAAAAGGAAAATTATTTTTTAAGCACAAATGAAATTATACACTCAAATAACAAGACACTGAAATGAACAAGTTTAAACACTCAAATTCAGATTTTCATTAGTTAAAACTCCATTCTAATTTACTAAACAATATTACATTCTAATTTACCAAACAGTAAATACCATCATCTAATTCACCAATCAACTAATTTTATCAACACTAATTTGCTAATGCTATGCACTAATCCTGTTATTAACCAACCAACCATTACCGACCAATAATAAGGCATGCCAAAATACCTTCAAAACACAAAAATAAACTTTCTAACTTAAAATGAGCTTTACAAATATCAAATTCAGAAAAAAGTTTAGCTAGAAACAAGTCTCAAGAAATAACACATCAATCATTCACAAAGTACAGAATTAAACAGTACCTCTCATGTCAACACATCAAAACCACAGTAAAGAAACAGCCTTTATAAAGACAAAAATTCAGCACTCCAAACTAGGTCAACATTGACAACAAAACACCACTTTAACCAACAATGCATATGAATTTGACCAATTTTCAGTCATTCATACTCGTGAAACCAAAAAATAAATCACACTGTTCTATGCTAACTGTCAAACATTTTGCTTGACCAGAAGACCTCTCGGATGGCTGAAATTCTTCTTTATATAAAATCATGATTGCAGGTTGTTCTACTAAATTACACTCTTTTATTGCACACAGCAGAAACACAACTTGATGACATAAAAGCCTGGCTTGACCAATGACCTCTTTGTGCAAGAAGAATAAGGAACAAGTTTGACAATTTTCTGCTGAGTTTCGTAAATTGCAGGATTTTTCAGTGTTTCAGTATGATGTTGATCAAGGTTTTCTATTCTGATTTTTCAAAACCCTAACTGGAGAATCGGGGGACTGTGAAATATAATTTGGCCACGGACCATATATGCCGGTACCTAGCGATGCCTCTGATTCTTATTTTTGCATAGATTATTCTTGTACATAAAGGTAAGTGCCAGTGACTTGCACAGAAATTTTAACAATAGTGAAGCTATTCTTATTCATTATAGAACAAGTCCTAATTATTTTTTGTCTTGACTTTGTTTGTATTTCTATGGCCTGTATAGAAACAAGAAAATTAAAGTAACTTTTTCTTGTACTTATGTTATAGTCATAATTTCTCCATATACTTTCCCAGGCTATGGTTTCAAGTGCCTTTGAACTGCATTGTAATATCAGCACTCAGCAGAAGCTATCTGAAGAGAATCCACTTTGTGTATTTAGCTGGCACAGTATCAGACAATTACTAAATGGGTTGCTTTTGGTCAAACGAGATAAAGTTACTCTACAGGGATCTCTCCAACTTTCTTCAGTAGTAGCTCGATCTCAAGGACCTCTAAAAAAGAGGCAAGACTCCAAACTTCCCAGACTTGTAACTAAAGCAGAAGAAGCAGAGCCATCCCCACTTGTCAGTAAGCAGACATTCTGTTGGCTACTTAAAGTATGGATTCACGAAGCTCAAAGAGTCTATATGGATAGAGTTTGGGACTGGACAGGTAACTAATCATGGTCTCTTTTTAGCTCTCTTTATATATTTAAAATCTTTAACTTAATTGGTATGATAGATTTGCTTGTAAATTTTGAAATATTAAAGACCTTATATATTTTTTTATTTGTATTGTTTGAAATATTCAAACTTAGTGATAATTAAAACAACAGGGAAGACATGAAACATTTATTAAAAACAGTAATAACACATCAGCATAATAATGTACAAATAATTAAAGAATTAACAAAACATAAAAACAGCTTGTTTCGATAGTCCAAGCTTGTCATCTCAGTGAGTTGAGTAAAACTGTTCTTAGCATCTTGTACTTTCAGGTTCAAAATGATCCAGAAGGGTCAACTAATAGTAGTAGAGTGCAAAAAATCTAATTAGAGGAAAACAACTTCCAAATGACCAGATACTTTTTCTCAATGTTTTAGTTACATGATGCCCAGATAGCAAGTTATGCACAGTTGTCTATCAGAAGCAAGAAAGTGTGAGCCTACTTCCCCCACAGTATATTATGAACACATTTATTCTCAGAAGACTGACATATACAAAACTATAATTTGGCTTATGTTGAACATTTGTTTCAATGAAAAGGGCAATCATGATCAATTGAACTACCTCAAAAAATGTTACTGTCTTCTGAGGATTTAAACCAAACTTGATAATAAATTTGTTCAACAAAATCAAAAACTTCTATAACAAAATGATTAAGTGAACCAAAGATCTCCAGATACATTAGAGGTGCTCTTTATATAATGATACTCTACTACCTCTTCATATAAAATAGAACAAACAAGCACTGTTTTAAAACAGAATAAAATCAAACCATCTTACAAGCTAGTTAGAAAACTTTCAAATGAATTTAACAAAGAGAAAGATAAGATATAAATCCACTATAAACAAGGTATTTATTTCATTCCTTGTTTCAGAACCATTTTGAACCTGAACATACAAAATGCTAAGAACAGTTTACTCAATCCCTTGGGAATGACAGTATTGACCAGTCAATATTAGTTGTGTTTTTTAATGATTTAGCACAAAGTACTTCTCCTACTTTAAATCAAGTATTTAACCTTCTGGTTATTAAAATAAGGGAAATCTGTGATGATTAAAATGCATTTTAACCTTATAATAACTAAAATGTGGGGGAAATATGCAACATTTTCACCGAACATGCATGGGGTCGGTCTAATGGTTATCATAGCCTTCATATTGGAGAAGGAATGTTGATGGTAATTCTGAATTTACTGTATGTATCTACATGAAATGTGAGAAGCTTTTAGTAAAATGTACAAGCCTGTTGTTCACAAAATCTCAGACATGTTAAGAAAGAATTTGTACTCAAGATATTTCTGTGAATTAACAACACCAGTCTGACTTAGACTCTGACAAGTCAGAGTGCAAGGTAATGTTCATACGAAGAATAAAAATACATTGTACAGTTTGCTTATTGCATTTGCATAGACTCTAGAACCTCTGAAATGCATAGCTACAGCTTTTTAAGTATTCCTTTAAACTATAACTGGTACTTACTCTCCTCTACTATTAACTTCACTAACTCAGCACCTCAATACCTCATTCATTTGGAGGTCCTCTTCAATTCCCATCTTGGTCGGGCCCAGCCTTCTCCACTTAGGCTCCTGGATATGGAACGAGCAGTCACTCAGGCTCTGTCTTCACCTTCTCTTCCTACTCAAGAGGTTCTCTCTCTCTTTTGGAGACATGGGCCTCCCTGGAAGCTCTCATTCCCTTGGGTTGAGCACATATGCATTCCCTTTGGTGGACACTTCTCAACCAGTGGAACTTCTCCCATGATCCCTTGGATCATCCTGTTACCCCCCTCCAGGGATCAAGGCAGACCTTGTTTGGTAGCTTGACAGGGCTCTTACCATAGTGGGGTTCCTCTTCCTCTGTCTCATCCCAACTTGCATCTATTCACAGATGCTTCTTTGGTGAGTTGGGGGCTTCCTCAACTCTCGGGAGATTTCAGGTTGGTGGGCCATCGAGAAATCAACTTACCATATCAACCACTTGGAGCTGTTGGTGGTTCATCTGGCTCTCACTCATTTCCTCCCACTCTTATGAAAGTGGGTGTCTATGATTCATTCCAACAATTCAACTTTCATCAGTAATATCTCCAAAGAAGGGGGTGCTAAGTCCAGGACCCCGTGTTTTCTCACACTCAATCTCTTACACTGGGCTCACAGCTACATCATCATACTCTTGGTGTATCACGTTCCGGGTGTTATAAATCTGGGTGCAGACCGTCTATCCCATCCCAACCAAGTTCTTCCTATGGAGTGGTCCTTTCATCCAGGGGTTTTTCAGTAGGTCTGTGCTTGCCTAAGTATGCCTCATATCAATGTGTTTGCAACCCATTTGAATGCCAGACTTCCTTTCTTTTGGTCTTTTGTCCCACACCCCTCGGCTGTTGGGGTAGTTGAGTTTAGTCAGGATTGGAGGGGCCTTCATCTCTATGCTTACCCTCTGATCAGTCTCCTCTCCAGGGTTCTTTCTCTCATACTGACCACTCCTAGTTGCTAGTTGTTCCATATTGGCCTGCTCACTTGTGATTTCCTCTACTTTGGCCCTTACTGAAGCAACAACCCTTCTCTTACCTCTGTCTAGGTCTCTACTCTGCAACTTCGATCAGACATGTTTCATCCAGATGTTGCCAAACTCCATCTTCATGCATAGCTTTTGTCTGGTCCATTACCTCCTCTCAGGGACTCACTACACATGTAGCTTCTTTGCTTACCCAATCCATATATCCTTCCTCATTGTTTGTACATCAGTGTCATTTATCTATCTTTTGCCAGTGGTCCATTTGCTGGGGATTCCATCCTTCCCATCCTACAGTTTTTCACGTCGCCAGGTTCTTTAATTGGTGATCAAGGTTTGTCTGTGTCCACTTTTCTAGTTATTCTGCTGCTCTGTCCCACACTTTTCACTTTTCCCATTTTATAGATCTTTCTCCTCCCTTGTTATTTCTATTATTTTCCATTCCTTTCGTATTGTTCATCCACCCCATCCATTTAGGCTTCCAAATTGGAATCTCAATGTTATTCTTCATGCCCTTGTACATTCTCCTTTTGAACCTGTTGCTACATGTTCTTTGTACCATATTTTTCTTAAGACCTATTTATTTCTCCTTCCTGGTCATCATCTGATATTTATGCTCTTAATATTTCCTGCACCCTATACCCTGGTTCTTATGTTTTCCTTTATCCCAGTCATTCCTTCCTTCCTTCCCAAGACATCTGCTGCTCGTGACGGTTATTTTGCCTTCTCTCTCTCTTCCTTTCTTCCCTTCTATTTCTCATCTATACTCCTATTCTGATCCTGATCATCTTCTTTGTCCTGTCTATTCCCTTCATTGTTATAAGTCTCAAACTGAATCCTTTTGGGGTTTCCATTCTCACCTTTTTATACACTGGAATCCCTCTTTTTCCCATGATCTTTCTTCTGTTACATTTACTGGTTTGGTTTGGCAACTCATCCGTCTAGCTTATTCTGACTTGTCGATGGAAGATCATTGGCTATTTAATGTGTCTTTGCACCAGATATGTTACTTTATCTTTAGCTGCTAGGATCACTGTCCTTTGGAGGAGATTGTACAAGCAGGAATGTGGACAACTCCCAACATGTTTGTCGCACATTATTTGCACAATATCGCTGTATCCTCCTCTTTCAGGTATCGTCTTCTGCCTGCTGTGATTCTCCACATGTCTTTTAGCCTTTAACTGGGGTAAGTTGACATTTTGGTTTCACTTATGCATATTTTTTTTACCACTTCAGAAATAGTTGTTTTCCTTTGCATTTCTGGATCACCTTGTGGTAGGTGTTGTCTGTTCAGGTATGCTGATTCGTTTTATACTACCACTTACTCTACTTCTTTCTAATGCTTACTGTGGAGATGGGGTGTTTCTGTAAGACCACCAGATGCTTTTCTGGTGGTGTATCTATATGTATATATCGATACCTGATGAGGACAGTCGCTCATGGACTTCATGAGTAAAGCAGATAGCGATTTTTGCCTATCCCTACTGACCCATGATTCTTACAATCCAGGTTTTTCTGCTTTTCAAAATAGGGACACAAAGACAACCATTGCACTGTCTTTGGTGGGTCATTCCTCCAGACCCCCCAATGTGCTTTCACTCCCTCTTTCTTCTGATAGAGCATGAGGGTCCTTGTTACTTCCAGTTCCCAGTCACTGGAGTTGTGGACTGTGGAGATTTCCTCACGAGTGAGTTTTGTAAAATAACAAAGTCTCATAGTCATTTGTACTCACTTGATGAGAAGAGGGCTGTCATAATTATGCTGCCTATTATAGAGACATTATGGCACTATGTATGTTATGCAAGGCACTTCCACTAGATGTTTTCTGCCCAGTTGGACCACACTTGACATAATCCAGTGTATAACAAGGGGCTTTCCCCAGATGTTTTTGCTTGGGTGGACCTCATTTGACTATCTTGTTCTAAATCCAAGGCATGTCCCCTGGATGTTTTTGCCCAAGTGGACCACACTTATTGATTTTACAAAATTATGCAAGGTGCTTCTGTGTTGTTTTCGTACTTGAACCACACTTAGCATGAAATGTTGTATCCTAAGGTACCTCCCCTGGTTGTTTTCTGCCCGTGCAGATTGTACTTGGCCTATTCATATAAGGTCGTCTAGCCCTAGTCATGTATTTTCTTCATTTCTGCCCTACGTGTCTTATTTTCTTTACTGGATGAAAAGCATACCTGTTCCAGAAGTAGTGGCATACCTGCATTTTTTTTCATAGAGGTCACTCTCCACTTGATTATTTGTTTTTGTGCCTTCCCCGGCCCCTCCACTTTTCCAATGTGGAATTCTAGTTATGAGGTAGCGGAGGTAGTATCATCTCAGAAGTTAACATTTTTTAACACTGAAAATGCATTTCTGATAGGTACTTACCTCTACTCACCCACTTCTTACCCTTCCTCCCCACTTATTTGCCAGTGTTTTCAGGTTTGTATATGCTAATTCTCAAAAGTGAGGATTGTACTGCAATGGTAGAGTTACCTGCACTAGTGTATAGAGGGCACAATAAGATTGGTTGAGGGTGGTCACATGATCTGCTACAATGCTGCAAAAATTTAGGGGTATAAAAGACTGGTGTGCTATTCATAAGATTTACCAATGCATAGAGGGTAAATTGATATAGCTATGGGTGAATGGAGGAAAGTACCAATTGGAAATACATTTTCTGTGCTAGAAAATGTTATCTTTCATACCTTGTATTAGTACCAGCGGTCAATCAGCTGGGCTACTATGTATATGAAATACTTGATGTTTAATCTGATATGTTCTGAATATTTATCGTGTATTAATATTTCTGTTGTATGTGTTTTTTGCAATTTAGGAAACCTTAGTCATAGTTTTCAAGAGCATTACTTATTATTTACATCATTCTGAGATATTAGGCAACTATTGCTTCAGTCCTAACTAATAAACAGAGTTACACTGTGTATGTATTTCTCTCATCTGTATAATATTATAAAAGATGAAAATGATGTTTTTCCTCAAAGTGAGGTTTATGAATTAACCTAATTTCATGTAATGTATACAGAAAAAGAATGGATTAAACAAAGAATCATCTATATAGTGGAAAAACACATTTGGTCCAAAATGTGGCAGTTTGTTCCATCTAAATCCCAACATGTAGTGCTGTCTCGTCGCTCATTCCAATCTCAAACTGGTGGTGGAGAAAAACATAATTCAAGACCTAATCGATCTCATGTGGGATCTACTGCTGTGAGTTGGAGCATGACTACAGAAGAAACTGCTACATCAGATAAGGTGTAATATATATTTTAAACATACACACCAATATTTAATCTTTAAGTAGAAAGCACAGATAACTGTGTAATTATCAAACAAGAATTTTTCCTGGTCTAGACTATGTTAAGTATATAAATAATCATTACTAAAGCCAAATATATTTCAATGTTTGCATGCACAAAAAGATAAGTGAGTAATTAATGGTTAAGAATATTCCAGTACTTAGTATCCTAACGGTAGTACTGTATATATGTTTTTTTAGTAGTTATACATCTTTATGGACTATTAATTATTAAATATTTATGGTTAATTGTTTCACACGGATTTATGATTAATATGAATATGAATTTGGTTCTGTAGACTTCCAAGAATGCATAGGAGACAGAATATATTTGAATTGGGAGGGTGACACTTGCAGTTGTTATCAAGTCAAAAATTGAGAGGCATGTGCCACATGTGCAACAATGGAATTTTCGTGTTTATTAATTACACAGTCTTAGTTGTATAGATTACTAACACTTGGATATTTCATAATTCTATAAAATACTAAGCTACAAAACTATTTTAGTATTCATGTTTAGTATTTACATGTCATTATTTTTTAGGTTACTATTACCAAAATGTTTTAGGTAATATGTGAACATAGTTCTGTAAAATTTGATACACTAGAATGTGTAAAAACTGCATGTACTTAGTTTTATTATTTACTAAACACCAGAATTCTTATATTTATTAAATACTTACTTCTTTAAGCTATGAAACAGTGTATATGTTTTTTAATTACATGTAACTTGTTATATAAGTTACAATACACAGCGATTTTTGTGTTCTGTAAACTGTTACACACTAGAATGTGCAAATACTGCATGTACTTAGTTCTGGAGGCTATGACACTGTATGTTTTGTAATTACAAGTGTATTATTACAGTAGCTACTAAACACTTTGGTGTTTGTGTTTGATAATTACACATACTTATTTCCTAACTAAATGTATCACATATTGAAATGTAGTGATCATTGTCCTAATTAATTCTTACTTATTATGTTATTCTTAAGAGAATTTTTTAAACTGATTTTGTATAAATAGTTGGATTTAGAGCTTATAGAACCTGTATATGAATTTTTACATTGGTGTATACAGTGCTGTTGGAAATTCTGAAATTATTGGAAAATTAATATTCAGTGACTACTCATCCAGATGAGCACTCCAATTCTCTGTTCATCATTTCACTAAAATTGGTTCTGTTTTGATGGTAATTGCAGACTAATCATGTGAAAAATTTCCCATTCTTATTGAATAACTTTATTTTTATCCAATCAATAAAACTTTTTATGTTATTTCCGGAAATGTATTACATCATAAAACATGATTGCAGAATGATGAAAAATATATCTCATCTATTAATAGTAATTGTTCTGCTTATGATAACTTTTTCAGTAGATTAGTTTTAGGCAACAAAATATTTTAATTGATTATTTTATGGTGTCTTCTATGCTTTCCACATCATTTTTTTGTTATATCCAACCAGCAGGATGTTCCTTCTTACTGGGCCCTAGCAGACAATATAGATGATTTTCTTCTCTCTGTATCTGATCAAGAGAAGGAGGTGGTAAATGAGACCACACTATCAGACCTAGCAGTTATTGCAGTCAACACCATCCAGGAATCAAGACCACTCATGTGAGTATTATAATAGTTGCACCAATGATGACAGAAGATTTCTTAATAGTTCACAAAACATTTAATGGTTTACAACAAACACAAATAAAAGTTTCAGGCGTCTATGCTGAGGGTAGATTACATCACTAACATTTATAAAATCATAGGCCATCACTATAAAGTCCTCACATGCTGGAACTATATGGTTAGTTTCATAAAATATGTATACCTTCTACCTCCCCTTTAAATTGTATTTCTGTCTGAAACAAACCTTTCTTAAGTGTAACTTCTAACAGCCTAAGGAAATTGCATGCTAACAGAATTTTAGATTTTATGGATGTGAAGACCATTGAAAAGGTTGGTACAGAAACATGTTATTAATACAAAAATTTAATCAATAGATAAGTAAATACTTAAATAATGTAAATACCAACATTAATAAATAAAAGATATACCTATCAACACAATTATGAGAAAATAAATTGTAAGTGAACAACAATGTGAACAATGTTTTATGGGTGATAAATGGTAATGAACGAGTCATTACCTGTTACTGAATGATTAGAATTGATTCTTTAAGGTGTGATTGTGTGTATTAACATTATTTTCTTACATCATATATCACATTTATATATATGGATAAAGATAACACAACAGTTGAATTAATTTTAACATCTAAAAGAAAGAGAGCATAAGACAACTACATCTCTTTAACTTTGTTTATTTATTTTTAAATTTTACATAACTAATATACAGAAGTACAGTAGGACCAAAGCAGACTGGTACTTTTTTGCTAATTGATCTGTAACTATTAAGTAAATTGCTGAATATTTAATTTCTTTAATGACAATACTAACAAATGCAGTCTTCCAAGACTTGAAGAAATAATAGCACATATGGTAAAGATAATGTAAAAAGAAGCATTAAATGAAATTCTTAACACTTTTGTTTAAAGAGAAGTAAGCATCATTGTTATGTAGCACATGTTAACAAAAAACATATTTATTATTAGAAAAAGCTATGGTGAAACAAAAGTGTAAATAGGAAGCAAAACAGTGAAAATAACAGTTGGTGTTAGCTGTAATACTGTTGTGACAGATAACTGAGATAGAAATTTGTTTTATTTCTATTAGGTTTTAATTTTTTATGATGAAAAGTTTGTCAACTAATAAATTTGATTTTTAATTGTTTCAAGGAAGGGTCTGTAGTATTACTAAAATTCTGTTTGCTCTGTCATCTGCCAAACTTCGAAGTGATGGTTTGGTAGTGGTGCATAGAGGGAGTCATATGCATCACGTGATAGTAGTGCTCTCCTATTGGTTGAGAAATGATGCTTGATGGTTTGTATGAGAGACATTTTTGAATCTTTGATTCCAATAGGGAGGTGCAGAAGGCTTGTGGCATGCGTTATAAAAAAAAAGTTTGCATATAGAGGACAGCACAAAATGGGAAAAGCTATTCTTGTGAGCAGAAGGAAGCACCTATCGGAAATACATTTTCAGTATAGGAAAATTATAACTTTATAGAAACTGTACAGTAAATAGTAAAAATATTAATCATTTGATTCAAATAACCAATTTAAACATAATAAAAATAATTTTAATACTAAAATACTATTAACCATTTGTAACAACTTACCCAACTAATTATCCCATACACACGTTACACATTGTTTATGAATTTCTGTAGTAAATTGCCAGAATATAAAATAATGTTCATTATTGAATTTAGTTGTTATTCACTTTAAACAAAACACATGCATATTAGATACCATTTGTGGATATTTAAACTCATTAACCCAACTGAGTGCCCAGTATAATGGCATATTTAACAGGGAAGAGGAAGGTATTTTGCAGCTTTTTAGAGAAAAATTTTATTTGTAATTTTCAGCAGTAATAATTATTGATCTTGATATTTTAAATTTCTTTATGCCATTAATTCAGATAAATAACTATTATGGAAACTAGAGTACCAACATCAGAAGATAAGTTATACTTATCACACCTAATGATCTGGTTGTATTCATATGTTTCATTTTTTTTTAAATCTAATTATATTTTAGTTCTAATTTTATTTCACATGTAAGACTTGCAAATAAAGACTCAATTAAATCTAATAATTGGAGTATTTTCATTCCTGATTGAGTCCTTCATCAAGAGATATCTCTTTTCATTAGGATGTAATTTATTTTTCCCATGTTGTGTATATTTTACTGTTTTATTACTTTTTCATGTCCATTATATGTGAAACATTTGTTGATCTATTTGTCTGAAATGTTTTACACATGCACGTTGTATATATATATATATATATATATATATATGATTTCTATATACATGCATTAATAATTATCTAAAACATTTTGTAAAGAAAATGCTGCCTTATCAGTCAGATCAACAATATGGTCAAAACAATAGCTAAATGAGAAGACAATGGCTACTAATGCTGCAAAAGTTTGAGAGCATATTCTAAATTAATATTCTTCAGTGTAAATTATTATATTGAAAATGAGTATCACCCTAGCTTATTTAGTTATAAGATAAATTATTAATAAGTACTTTCACCTGAAAATACAAAATATGTCTGAAAAAAAGCAGTAACTATGTTTCAACTTGTAAAACTTCAGTTTAGAAATAATCCCACAATAAGGCACAATGTCAAGTTACAGTTAAAGAAGTTTGTTTCAAATGTCTATGTTAATTTCCATTACTATCAAGAGCTTTTACTCAAGCTATTTATCTTTGAAAACATGTATTACAAATCATAAGAAGACATTAGGTTATATGTGTAAATCTAAGCATATTTTTTAAGAACTTGTAATTAAAATGATGGTATCAAATACTATGTATTTTAAGCATTTGTGTCAAATCACTTGTTCCTTTGGATAATTAATATTTCATGTAGATGAGTCATAAAAAACCACAACAAGAGCAAAAACAGCCTGCTCTTGGAAAACTTGCAGAGAAGAGTGGTTGATAATCATTCTTACATTTCTCAGACAAGTTTGTTTTCTTGGTAAATCTCATGTTAGACTCTCATTTAAAACCAGAGTTTTTAGTTAGAATACTTGAAACACAAAAGAAAGGAGCATTCAGGTTATAAAATCATTCATAAAAAATTTTAAAACAATTCTATTTTTCATAGTACAGGAAAATACATAATATTTCTAGGAATATAATTTTTAAGACTGTTTAACCTATTCTTCCTAACTATCAATAGCAAATTAAAGATTTAACTTTAGCATTGAGACAAAGTTTCATTATAAAATCAGAATGTTAAACTGTATAAAAAATTGTGTAGTTTAGTAAAAATATATATAAAATAAACTAACAGAAATTAGTTTCAGATTGTTTTGTAGCAATCATTAACTACAGTGCCAAATATCTTATATACTCATGTTTGATATTGTGAAATTGTTAACTATATTTATTTATTACATATGAAAGAATAAGTTACACGGACTGATAGTTTTAATTTTAAACTCTACTCAATAAATTTTCATCTGTTTAGATTATATCTTGATGGATTTTATTCTAAACGTATGAAATTTTTTTTTATATGTTTAAGAGTAAAGGGCTTATCACAATGATGCAATTTAAAAACAGTGGTTACTGCATTTTTCTGAGTTTTCAACTCATGGTAGTGTACATTTTTTTATTTTTACTTTCTATTTATATTGATGAATTGTAAGTCAATGTTTTTTTTAGGTTTTTATACACTCACAATAACTTTTACAGATTGGAGAATGTAACAAGAGAGCTGATATTTTCTGATCAATTTCTACACCACTTAGCCCATCTGATGAGAGCTTTTGATCACACCTAGATCTCATGTTTTCCTGTCCAGTTATGTATCGTGGGTGGGTAAGACATGCTGTATAGAGACTGCTGCACAGATTTTGGGCTACACTGTAGTCAAGTTAAATAGCAGTAATGATATAAGCATTGAAGAATCACAGCTTCTGATATATATAAGTGGTAGTCCAAGCTTTGATACTGAACAAAATAATTCAAGTGCAAATGATGTTAAGAATGCTACTAAGAAAAATGCCATGGATCAAGAGGCATCCAAGGAGTTTGATTCCCAAGAAGCCTCTAGAAAAGCATCTAAACAGAGTGTAAGCAAAGAAATTTTAGCTGTTAAGTCTAAAAATCAGTTGTCTTTCAAAACAGTGTCCAAACTTGGAACTTTGCGAGGGAAAGTTCAGAACAGAAGAAAAAGTAAGGAAGTTAAGAAATCCAATGTAGACCTGAAACAAAAGACAGTGGAAGGTCAAGTTAAAAAACACTGTGGAAAATTAACCAATGAAAATCAGCCCAACCTTAGTGTTGGGGAAAACATTTTAGCTTGCAAAACCTTTGGGAAGGACACTGTAAACAATGAACCTGAGCAAGCTGATTACAGCACATTGGAGCTCAAAGAGTGCTATTTATTGAAACAGGTATTCCAATATTTAAATACTTTCATAAGCATTTAAAGGAGCTGAACTCATTGTAAATATGTATATGTAACTCCAGGCTTTTTTATACTGTCCCAGCTTTTCAAATTTTAGTCTTCTCCCTCAAATCCTTCTTTTCCTATTTAAGCATTTTTCTCTAATGTCATTAATGCAAAATTGTTCATAAATCTCATGTTATACCCTTTAATTTTATGATATGCATGTGCACACAGTATATTTTGTTTGTAGTTCATGTGTGACTGATAATTGCTTGAGTTTTTCTTTCCATTCACTATTTGATAGATAAGTAGCCATCAGGTGAGTATCAACTTTGTTGCTTATACTGGATTAATGCTGACTGATAAATTTGACCACAGTAAAAATTTAGAGAAGGAATGTTAGCTTGGTACAGGGCAGAGTTTTGAACTGAGAAACTGGTAATCATTAAAAGAAATTCTTACAGGTAGTATGGAACAACTAGAAAACTGTGTGGGTAACTAAGGATAATGTGATCATGTTTTTGTGCTTTTTCATATGATGCCACTATTGAAACACAGTTATCAAGAGGTCTACTTTAAATTTTATGCATGTAAACGTTTGGGCATAACTTTACATTTCAAACTGAAAAATAGGATGGAATCAACTTTTTTAATACCTGCTTTTAATAATATATATTGTTGCGTCAGCGAGTCACGTGACTACTGTGACGCAACGTTTCTAGAACTATCATGTACTTTGGCGAAT